AAAAAGGTAATATTGGGCCGTGGGATAAAGGGCTTTGTATCATCTAGGCGTTTTTACATCCAAATAAGCCGCACAGTTGTAGAAATCAAAAACTCCACATTTTTAAAGTTCGCTCGCCAGCTGTCAGTCCAATACCACGAAAACCCTCACCTTTTCCGCCCTCATCATTCGCGACAAACTCGACGTTGCCGAGGTGAAGCACGCCGGCGACGGTGCTGAGCAGCTGCTTGCGGGTCGTCTCGTCGAGGCCGCACTGCTCCAGGCAGGCGAGCAGGCGCTTGAAGTCGCCGACATCGTCGACGACCGGATCGATGCACGTCTTTCCCTGAAAAATACAGAATTTAGAGCTCAGCTCCCCGATTTCGTACCGCGGCCAATCGGTCCTGACTGATGGCGTTCTCGCTGTCGGCGCGGGCGAAGAAGTCGACGCTACCACGGCGGAGGTACTAAACGAAAAGTATAAAATTTTTAATTTTTTTAAATAAAAATAAGGGAAAACGGAAAAATAATAAAAATACCAATAAAACAAAAAGAAAAAGGATAAGATTAGAAGAATTCTAGAAAAGCAAATTTTGCCTTGAGTCATCATGTGAAGCCTAGGAATCCCAGTCATCTTTCCTAAAAGTCATCTTTCCTAAAGTCATCTTTCCTAAAGTCATTTTTCCTAAAAGTCATCTTTCCTAAAAGTCATTTTTCCTAAAAGTCATCTTTCCTAAAAGTCATTTTTCCTAAAAGTCATTTTTCCTAAAAGTCATTTTTCCTAAAAGTCATCTTTCCTAAAAGTCATTTTTCCTAAAACTAGGTAATCGTAAATTTTTATTTTTCCTCAATCACTTTTTTCTAAAAACCATTTTTTTCGAAAATTAATTTTTCTTGAAGTTAAATAGGCGAATAGGGATGCCACATCCGCCTAACTTGAAACCTACTTCCTGTGTAGAAACGGCAAAATGCCTTGAACGCCGTCAGTCCTCATAAAAGCCTCGGAGCCTTCCTATTTTTTTGATTTCTGAATAGTTTTATGAATTCAAAGATAGCATAACTTAAATCAAAACATCCCGAAAAGATCTATTACCGCATGGAGACATTAAAATTTTAGGGGCCCAGGCCTCTCGAAAAAAATTTTCTTGCAAAAAAACCAAACTGAGAAATATTGATTTTTAGGAAAAATGACTTTTAGGAAAAATGACTTTTAGGAAAGATGACTTTTAGGAAAAATGACTTTTAGGAAAGATGACTTTTAGGAAAGATGACTTTTAGGAAAGATGACTTTTAGGAAAGATGACTTTAGGAAAGATGACTTTAGGAAAGATGACTTTTAGGAAAGATGACTAAAACCCGAAGCCTAGCCTATCGAGCGTAGCCATGAGAACCATAAGAATTTTACAAAAAACCTTTTACTTTTTTACTTTTACAAAAAAGGCGACTCCGTGACACTTCTTTAGCCGTCGATTGGAAAGTTGCGTACTAAATGGGCGTGTTTTCCGTCAAATTTGTTTTAGGTTCAAAAATTCGATAAATTATTTCTAAAAAACAATATAAAATGTCGAAATTCCTTTTTCGGCTTGTTTTTTTTGCGTAAAAACCTACATGGAAGCGATCAGGCGGCGCGAGGCTGTACAGCTTGTACATGTCGGCATCGGCGCCGGCGATCAGCTGGTAGAAGATGTGGTAGTTGCGCTCCCCATCCGACTGGCCGACGATGCGCGACTTCTCGAGCAGGTAGTGCGACACGTGGCCGCCAGTAACGGCATTCTAAATGGCGTACTTTTAGGTGTTGCTCGAGCCGGGAACCTTATTGTCGAAGTGGATCTCGACGAATTTGCCGAAGCGCGAGCTGTTGTTGTTGCGGCTCGTTTTGGCGTTGCCGAACGCCTCGAGGATCGGGTTGGCTGTAATCGTAAAGGTATCGATTTTTATTAAAATTCGGTGATTTTAAGGCTAGAGGTTCTAGACTTTTGACGTACTTTGAAAAATTGACTATTTTAAGTTGTTTCGTAATATCAGTGAAGCCGCGGGGAGGGGGGGAGGCTTTTTCTTAGCATCGAGTTTTTGCATTTAGAAGGTGGAAGCGTTTTTTGCTATTCCTAAACGTAAAAACTTTACAAAAAAAGATTTTTCGCGCAAAAATGGGCAAATTTCGACTAATTTCGACCTTGCAAAATGTGTAAAGTTTTTAGATTGTTTTTCTAGTCGTAATATAGTTATATTTTACTAAAAACGCTTCTAAAAACTCCCTATTACGTTCTTCGACATTTCTGGACTTAGAATGTAGGAAAAAAGTTGGTTCCCGCACCTCTATATTACGCAAGTACCTTTTTAAAAAATTCTTTGGCCATTTCATCAGTTTTTCGACCAACTTTAGTAAATCTAAACCAAAACAAGGCTTTAACGGCTAGATTGACTTTTTTGCAAGTTTTTGGCAGACAAAAACGCACTCTCGAGCAGCCGCTGCTGGATGGGCCCGGCGGTCTGGCCCCAATTCTCGCACAAATACTTGAGGACGGCCTTCTGGCTCTCCGTCTTGCCGGCGCCGGATTCGCCGGAGACGAGGATCGACTGCGAGCGGCCCTGGCGGCGCATGTCACGGAACGCCTTATCGGCTGTAAAAGAACAGATAAGTTTTTTGAATTGTCTAACCAATGGCATAGACATGAGGGGGCTGTTGGCCGATGGATTTGCCGCTGTAGGAGGCCATCGTCTCCGTCGAGTACAGGCCGGGCACCTCGGCGTACGGGTTGATCGAGATCAGCATGTTGGCCACGTACGTCTAAAGCAAAGGTGGCTTATTTGGTGCTGGGATGTTAGCGTGGTGGTACCCGATTTTGGCCTACGTCTCCCCCCCCCCCCCCCGATAATAGATTAGTACCAAATCCTCTCAATTCCCAAAAAATTACATAGATCTGGTTGTCCTTGGCAAAACGGCGGCGGCAATTCTCGAGGAGGCTGCCCTCATTGAGGTACATCAAGGCACAGTTGTCATCGTACGTCGTCCCATCCGTCGTCTCTTCGGCAGGAAAGACGTCGTCGGCTTTCACGTCCACCTAGAAAGTAGAGGCTACAAAAAGCAGATTCGCTGTGCTATCGAGGTAAGTCCGCTGATATCATCCCCAGCCGGGCCTCCTACGTTTGTATCTTGGCTCCCCGTTTGGCTGAAAGTGTGCAAAGTATGCCGAAATGTTCGTCTTGGTTTTGCGAGTATTTTGACATAGCTTTATACACAAAGCATAGTGTCTTTCTTAGCTTTAATAAAAAGAAATGTGAAAAAATCTACAGAAGTTTTCGAAATTTTGAGTTTAGCTATTTTCCTACATTTTCGTGAAAAATGCCATACTTTTGAACGTACTTACTACTTTACTTATACTTCTTTTCTATAGTAAGCAATTTCGAAAATCGAAAACCGAACTAAAATAGAATTTCCAACGAGAAAAATGGATGTTTTTATAATAATAATTTAGTCTAGGGATCACACCTCCTTTCCATCGACGCGGCGCTTGACGGAGAGGGCGTTGGCGCGGATGTCGGTGATGTCGCCGAGGACGTAGCTGAAATTCGTATGTTTCAAGGAATACAAACTGCATAGTTGGCGCAAAAATCAAATTTCTCACCCATTGGCCGGATCGGGAACCCAGACGACGCGCTCGAAGCCGATGCCCTCGGAGCCTTGGCGGGTGATTTCCATCTTGGTGAAGCTGTTGAAAAGCTGCAGTCGGAAAAATATGGGGTCAAGCGGCAAGTTTTTCTTTTTATACCGAGTGGTAAATGCAAATTTTGCACAGCTTCCGGTCGGCGGTTTTATGTAAATTATTTCTAGATACTACATCCTACTATACCAGCGGGGGAGGAGCCGCTTCGCGACTCTCCCCCGCTGGACCACGTCAAGGCACCCTGAATTGGGCGCCTTTCCAAATCACACTACCCGGACTTTCTTCGGTCTTGATGGATTGGATTTTGTGGTAGGCACTCATATTTTCGAAACTCATATTTTCGAAACTCACATTTTCGAAACTCATAGTTTCGAAAACTCATATTTTCGAAACTCATATTTTCGAAAACTCATATTTTCGAAACTCATATTTTCGAAAACTCATATTTTCGAAACTCATAGTTTCGAAAACTCATAGTTTCGAAAGTCATATTTTCGAAAACCATATTTTCGAAAACGTTTCTTGCGTGGGGGGAATTGAACTTTTTTCGGCCCAAGCCTAGATTTTTTATAAGAATCGTGGCATTGTTTGTAAACTGTTTATAGCTATTCCTAAGCATAAAACTTTACAAAATGGAATAATAAAATTAATTTTAGGTAGAAAAATTAATTTTTTCGACCAAAAAGAACCAAATTTTCGACTTTTTCAAGCGTTTTTCTAAACTTTTAAAAAAGTTTTTCCTATTCAAATAAGTTCCTTTTTTGTTTTTTTTCCGATTCTTCCCCCTTCCCGGATACGCAAGAACCCCGAAAACGCATAGTTTCGAAACTCATATTTTTTAAATTCATATTTTCTTAGGTTTTCATAAGTTACTCAAGCCTATGCAAAGCTGTAACTATCAGTTTTCGAAAATATGAGTTTCGAAACTATGAGTTTTCGAAAATATGAGTTTCGAAAATATGAGTTTTCGAAAATATGAGTTTCGAAAATATGAGTTTTCGAAAATATGAGTTTCGAAAATATGAGTTTTCGAAAATATGAGTTTCGAAAATATGAGTTTTCGAAAATATGAGTTTCGAAAATATGAGTTTTCGCAAATATGAGTTTCGAAAATCTGAGTTTCGAAAATATGAGTTTCGAAAATATGCACGCAAATCGGATTTTGTGGCGGCCGCGACACGCAACCTGTCATCTATTCAAAAAAACCCTCTAAAATTCCGGCTACGCGACGCTCCGCTTGGAAGGCAGTTTTTTTGTCATATTGTTGCGTTTCAATCCGAAGCATTGACCATTTATTCACTATCAACGAATTTCGATATTCTCCTCCGTACGATACACGCCAATAAACAGTGGCTATTCGGCCTTCACTTCCGACGATTGGCTTGTCTTCTTTGCCGGCGTCTTCTCGGTGCTGATCGGCTTCTTCTCGGCGGGCGGGCAGATTGTCAGCACCGTCTCCAGCCGGTCCAGGTTACGCTGAAAGATTGGGGACTGGACGGTTAGCGGGGGGAAAGGGGTTAGTATTGGCGGCAGAGCCGGCTAACTGCAATTTTTTGCGTTTTATACTATTTTTGATCGTTAAAAATCATCAAAACATTTCAAAAATGAATCAAAAATTCAAAACCAAATCAAAATCAATCAAATAAGTCAAAAAAATCAAAATTTTAGATTTAAATAATTTTTATGAGCTTTTGATAGTTGATAGTGAAAAAAGGCGTAAAACGCTATAAAAATATGTCTGTTTCCTTACCATATGTACGCCGGTGTAGTAGAGCGTGTGACCGTAGATGATCGTGCCCACCGTCAAGATCCAGCCGACCACACTTTCCGGGATGTGATTCATCAAGCCTGAATTGATAGAAAATTGGCTTCGATCCCCAAGAATCTCTGCCAGCACGCCCACTTAAAATTTTCAAAATTCGATTTGAGTTTTTACTATCTTGGTTTCCTGAAGAATCTCGGCTAGCCTGCCCTCTACAAAAAGTCGCGTCTGGATAATTTTGGAATAACGGCGCATTTTGTGAAAAAATTCCCGAAACATCTCGGCTAGTTTTCCCGCGCCAATCCTAACGATTCTTACCGCCATTGCACGTCCCCAGCGGCCGGTAGTTGAGCGTGAAGGTGAGCGTGGCCGCGTCGGCGGCGAACATGATCGTCTGCAGAAGTAAAATCGGACTCGAAATCGGCAAACCGAAGCCACGACGCTGGCCAGCTTGAAGGCGCGGCCGCAGCCGTGTGGTTGGATCGACATTTGGAGCTGAAAGAGAATCGTTGAAATGGATCTAACGTTATAACGGTACTGGAGTGTTAGCGGGGGGGGGGGGGGGCTAATATTGGCTGTTCCCAATAATAAAAAACTAAACATTATCTACATAGCTGGTTACGATTTTAAGCAAAGAAACTTCATAAAAATACAAATTCACTTTTTTCTAAAGTTTTTGGGACTTTTTTATTAGTCAAAACTCCCAAAAAAAACTAAAAAATACAATACAAAATGCCATAATTTTTCAGAGCTAACTGTAAGGTGTTTGACATAGGATGGAAATTCCATAGCCCAAGCAAGCCCAGCTTGTGCAGAATTTTTCGCTGATTCTGAAACTGTTTTCCAAATTTGCTGAAGAGCCTGGATTAAAAAGTTACAGCTATTTTTCTAACAAACTGGCCGAAAAATCGCCGATTTTAAATCCCTCTGAAAATCTTGTAGAATACTTTCTGGATAAACACAGACCACATTCCGGGTAGAAAAAGACATGCCCGTGAGATAGCTCATTCGAAAGAGAAAGAGCTGATTCCATCCTATGTGAAAACACCTTACAGTAAGTATAGGCTCAATAGCCCCCCGCTAACAGCTTAGTACCAGATCGATGCTCTAAAGTTACCAGCGCGTAGATGAGGACGAGCAGCGCGACAAGCGCCAACTGGTGCACAAAAACAAAAGTGGTCATCTCCTCACCGCATGCTGATCGTGAACAATTCGGGGTAAACGCTCAAAACGTGTAGCTACCCTCGCCGGTGCTGCTCGCAAAGTTGCGCGAGTACACGTATGAACGGATCAGAAACACGACGCACAGCCCGATCATCGCCAGAACCCGGGCGGCCAACGCGAATTTGGCCAGAATACCGCTAAAATAGGGTATCAGAGGCCATTAGGGAATTGCAACGAACCGTTGCCGGGAAAAAGCCTCCAGAAGCCCTCCCATTCTTGGAAATACCCGATTTTCAGGTACTTTCTCCCGCTGTGAATTCCGCATTAACATAAATTTTAAAATTTTATTATAAAACACGTCGATTGAAAGAGGGGAGAGGCCGGGCTAAACGGGGTGTAATAAAAGGGTAGGGTATCGGAGATCTAGAGCAAGTTCTCGAGGAGGAGGAAACAGCAGGAAAGGGGAAAGAAGCGGACCCATTGCGCGGAATCCAAGCCAAAAATCACAAAAGCTAGAGTCATATCATGACTTAGATTAACAAATGGACCGGAAGGGAATTTTAAATTGTTGAATCGCCTACGACTGGGCGCACTGCACGCCCGGGTGTCCGCCGTGGCCGCCTTCGTCCTGAAAAATGAGATGTTGGTGGCATCTAGTCAAATTCTTTCGTGCGCGTCTATTAATAAAATACAGGTCGTTATTATAGAATTTTATCCTGCCTTTTGCTGTTTAAAACGTTACACAAACGGGCTTTTTTTCGAAATTGTATGAAAATGCGCAAAAATTAGAAAAGCCTTAACTTTAAAATTGTTCAACAAATTTTTGTCTGTTAGTTATCAGAAAATACTAAAATACATTACATTTGATTACTAGGCAGGAATAGGCCAACCAAAGCTACGTTAATTACAACTCCCCCTAAAACCTGCAACCATAATCGCCAAAAATCTAAAACTTCAAATTTTAAAAACATTAAAAACCTGTTTTTATAATTTTCGGTTGTCAGAAACTGCTAAAATACACCAGACTTTCTCATAAGAAGGTCGAGATTAAACAAAGGAAGTCTGGCTACACCCCCGACAGGGAAAAGCACCCCCGCGCTACTAACTTCTTTTTTATTAATCGCGAAATCACAAACCGAATCGCTCTCCTCGGCATAGGCCTCGCCACGTCCTCGTCCTCCACCATACTTCTTCTCGTCATATTCGTAGAGGGACACTTCTTCAAAGTCACCCGTCGGCGGTGGCTGCTTCTTCGGGGCCGGGAAGCACTGGGCGAGCAGCTGGTATTTCTTCTCGTCGTCAAGGAAGTGAGGTGCGGGGAACTAGAGGAAATTTAAAGAAAAACAAAGTCATCCATACCTTCACTTCAAACTTCACGAACAGCGTGCCCTTGATTTCGTGGTGGCGTCGTTTCGGCATACCCTCACCAATCACCCCACGCACGTCATCTAGGTGGGTTTATAGAATTCATCCGGAATTCTGTACCTGGACGGATAATTTCTCCTGCACGCGACTTGAGCACAATCTTGCGACCGTCGAGGTGGGTGATCGGGATCGAGTAGCCGGCCAACGCCTCGTTCAGCGTGATTTCTCTGGAGAAATGAAATGAGGGGCAAGCATCTAATTTATCGCGAAGCGCTCGGATCGAAATAAAATTTCATTTTTGATATTTGAGGGCACTTTTTACTTTTAGCGAGCCTTATCACGCGACGCTCATAGATACGAGCATTAACAGAACCGTGCGAACCGTGCGCATTCAATAGCTGCCTCAAAAAATTCCAGTTGCGAAAAAATCATTTGAGGTAGACTATCACGGAAAAACGTACTTTGTCATGTACAAGTTATCGCCGTTACGACGGAAGTTGGCATGATCCTTGACGTTGAGCACAATGACCACATCACCCGGTTCGACATCGGGCTGAAGCACGAAAGGTCTTTATCGCTCAAAAAACCACTTACATCAACCTGGTCACCCTGGCCGTGGAAGACGATTTGCTCGCCATGGCGCATGCCCTTCTCCACGTGCACCTAAAAAAACATTGTTAGAAGACGCAAGGCTGGATTATACCTCCAGCACTTTCTGAATCTTCTGGTACTTCTCACCGCTGCACGGGCCACACTTTTCGCTTGCCGGGACCTTGGAGCCTAAAACGGGGGATAAGGAAGCCGAGGAAAGTCGAAACCTTCTCCTCCACATTCGTCGCAGGCCACCTGCATCTGCTGGATCATTCCTGGGCCAATCTGGAAAAAAGATGACATGGTTATTTTCAGGGTTCACGACGTTTTCGCGATTTCTTAGCGCTACAAAAACTGGAATTTACGGCGCTTTCAGAGCGAAATTTCGAAATGTTCTCGTTTTTTTCATATGCGCTCGAAAAATTTGTCCTTTCGAATTTCTAAGCCAATATACCTGACGCATGCGCATCTTTGCTCCTCGACCCTTGCAGCCAGAGCACGTGTATTGGGCACCAGCACGGCCTCCGGATCTAAAAACGCAGAAAATAATTAGCTTCATCAGGGCCGCACTCACCCCCTACAAGTTGTGCACAGCACCGAGTTGCTCAATTTCAACTTGGCCGTCTTGCCCTTGTAGATATCTTCTAGGGTGACGCCGAGATGATGGACGGTTGGCTGAAAAAGAGCGATTCGTGTCGTAGTTTTATAGAAACGCAAAGAAACTTAAAATTTGGGAGTCTGACAAACACAGACTTCAAAAAAATTGCTGAACGATAACATTCTTCGAGAAAAGGTTTCCGAAATTTTTTCGTCCTGGAGTCAGTTTTCTCCAAAATCTAAACGAACAGCGAACTTGCAAATGGGGCTCGTGATATTTTTGAGCTCGACTGAACAATCTGTCACATCGCGAAACGCCTATATCACCAACGACTCCTTCTTATGCCTATAGCGCTTTAGATCGCATTAATGTCAAGTTAGGCGGTCAAATTTTTACCTTAGCCTGTCGCCGACGCCGCTGGCCACCACCACCCATGCCGCCGAAAAATGATGAAAACGGATGGCCACCATCGTCGCCGAAGAGATGCGAGAAGAGGTCACTGCCGCCGAAACCACCTCCGCCACCTCCTAAACAGCATTAATTCTGGACGTCAGTAACAATAAACCTTCTTTCATCCCTTCCAATCCGACTTGGTCGTACATCCGCCTTCGCTCCGGGTTTGACAACACTTCGTAGGCGAAGGAAATCTCTTTGAACTGAAACAAACAATCGTTTTTATGCAAACAAAACAATCGGATACCTTGTCACCATGGTCCGGATTTTTGTCGGGGTGGTACTCGCGGGCTAGCTTTTTGTAGGACTAAAGATGACAGCCTTTAAGAAAAAAAAATCACGCAAACCTTTTTAATTTCATCATCAGACGCTGATGGGCCGACGTTGAGAAGGTCGTAAAGTTTTGTGTCGGCGGGTCCGCCTCCTCCCCGGCTTCCGCCCATGCCACCCATGTTGAAAAACATTTTCTGAAATCAGGATTTAGGAAAATTGGGAGGATAGGGACATGAATAGGAAAAATTCAGGGAAATTTGAGTTGCGCAAGAATAACCCTTTATGACTCTGTGCGAGGCTCGTCTGGAAAATTCCAGAAACGCAGCGCGCAGATGACAAGGATATTGGTGCGTATATGGCCCCGGGAACTTGAAAAAGCAATCGACACGATGATCGATAAACGGAGATGACTGGAATTCGCGAAGAGAGATCATAAAAGCCCTGCCAGAAGTCGTTATACCACAAGCTAGTCTGCAAGCTCTAGCCTTCGAATTTCTGGGAATTTGGTTAATACTCAAGTTCGCAGGAAACTCCAAGGGCAAAAATTAAGAATCAGTTCTACGCAATGAGGAAATCGAATTTCGAAATATCAGTTCTCGCCCAAAGTGAGTCCCAGGTTAAATAATATAATTTTTTGGGCAAAAAAATTTTTTTCGACAAATCAATGGCGTAATCGAGAGAAAAGGGTTCACTTTCGGCATGCCAGTCACTTCGAGAAGGATCAAAGGGGCCATGAGATACGGGTGCCAGGGCGCCTTTTAGGCCGGGGAGAAAAAGCGGGCTGGCGGGGCGGCTTCCGCCAGTGGTCCACCGCCGAACATCTTCATCTTCTCTTCTCGACGCTAATTGACGTCACAAAACGATTTCTTCTTTCCTGATAGATCTCTGCTTGTAACCTCGCCGCGGGGGATAAATTTAGCTATATTCCATACGGAAGAAACCAGTTAGAACGTTTCAAAAACTGTTTTAAGGGTAAGAGTCTAGGAAACCCCCCCCCCCAGCCGGCACCAACTTTGGTTCCCAACCCCCCTTTGTGCCGGGGGGGCCAAGGTAGCGTGTCCTCAAATATGTTCGCCGTAGGCTAATTAAAAGGACTCCAGTTCAGAAAAAGAAGGGGAAAAATAAAAATAAGGAAGGTAGAAAAGTTGAAAAGTCGGCTGGGGGGGGGGTTTCCTAGACTTGAGCCGTTTTAAAATTTTAAAAGGCATTTTTGTATTTTTTTCTTGCATAGTTTTGCGTTTATAGTAAACAAAAATCTATTTGGATTAGTTCGGAAAAACGCACACCGCCAAGAAGGTCAACATCCCGGGCGAAAATAACCCTTTCACACCGTATTTTGTTCTATAACGGACAAATATTTATTTTTGGCAAATTACAGCGATCGCTGTTATTTTCATTGGATCAAACAAGTGTGAATATAAGGGGAGGTCCTCGAAGATGAAAAAATATTTTACAAGATGGATGAATGGGTACCCGGGTGAAGATTTTGCGGATTTCGGAAAATCGTTTTTTATGAAGAAGAATCAACAGTAAAAGTTTAACAACAGCAGCCCAAATATTGTCCGCAAAACCTTCAAAATCTACACGCCGTGAAACGGGGGATAACAAGGAAGTTTGATAGGGAATAGTTGACAATGAGTTTCAAAGGTACAAATAAATACACGCCAAAGTAGCACATTCAACAATATCGATCACTTTTCGTCTTTTTCCGCCTCTCCAGCAGATGTTCGTGCAGGTCACCATCACGTTGGGCACGTTTGACACCCTTCTTGTCGTTGACGTCGACTGAAAAGAAAAACAATAGTTTTTGGACGTGGCCTCAAGAGGCTTAAGAAAGTAATTATTTCCCTAAAAAACTTCCCTCTGGCACATTATTTTCATAGCCTAGCCAGATTTTTAACGTTTCTGAAGCGATTCCGACACGAAAATACACTTTTTGGGCGCAGATCACCCAAAGTAAATTTTCAAAAATAGGTTGGGCTACCCTAATTCTCGAGGGGAAATAAACAATAGAGGCAAAAACCGATCTAACCTGAAACCATCCTATTCTTCAGGTCCACCTTCGAGTGCTGGAACATTTTGACGTATGACGTCTCGCACTCCCCAGCGCTTTTCCGGTCATCGTCGGGGATGTAGTCGATCGGTTTCTGCTTCTCGGCGTCTGTACGGATCTAAAAAAGTTCAATAAATAAATTGAAAATCGCGAACTTACATTGACAATCTCGTTATCTCCGGCCGTGCGACTAGCGACAAAGATGTAGCCCTCACGATCCGGCATCATCGTCAAAAACAGCGGGTTCATCACTGACTGCACGGCGGATTTGCCCTGAAAATCAACGATATGATTTAGAACAAAACGTTTTCTACGTATTTTATCTTACAAAAAGCAAAGAAAAAGCGGTGGTAGACGTACATCCTGAAAAACGGCAATAAACCGCTCGCGGGCTCCAATAGCTTCGGCTGTCGCGATGAGTTGTCCAGCCGTGTCCACGCCAATGTACTTGCCGAAGCCGGTCTTTAAACTAAAAATCAGATTTAAAAACGTCGAAATGCCAGAACGTCTAAATAATAATCGTATTTTTAATTGACATAGGGATTTTCGAAATTTAAATAGAAATTGATCAGAAATTCGACATTCTAGAATTTCAAAATTACGAATGGCGGTCCGACAAATCGAAAGGACATTATTACCATCCTCACAATTCCAACCTGAATTTTTGCTCATCCGACGTTCTGATGAAGGCGAACACCTCTTCCGGGTTCGGCGGCTCGCCGTCCGGGTGCGGCGCCCCGATGGTGAACTTGCCGTTGTCCATGGCGGCCAGGTAGCAGCCCTTCGAGGCGCCCACCTCCAGCGACACGTGAATGCCGCCCTTCAAATCCACGTCTTCACGAATCAGCCACCATCCTCCTAAACAAGTGGATTAGAGGGGACCAATTTTATAATTTTAACGTCACAGACCCAGGTGATATACGAAGGCTCAATTTTCAAGAAAACTACCGTGTTCAATCGCATCATGATCCACGAGCGCTTCGGCGTCACCCTTGCCCGATTTTTTTGACTTGACGCGGAATCTAGAACAGCGATAATAGGAAAACAAAATGGAAACTCACATATTTTTCTTGCCCTTCAGCTTCAGGGTGCCCGATTTTACGTTGCTGTACTCGGACATCTTGACTGTAATAGAAGTTATAAAATTGTTTTGGAAAAGAAATATTAGGAAATTTCAAATTAAATGATTTTGCAAAGTTCCGCTTGTTTTTCAGTTTTCAACACTCCAAAACCATTTTCGAAGAATTATCCTGGCCGGCGATCAAGGGGCTCCTTTTGACGCAAAACACCACTGCCGCGCAGTTCAAAACCAAATCAAAGAAAGAAATTCAGTTTAGTAGATGAAGGATTAAAATAACCTGGCCGGAAAGTTATAAACTTGTACTTATGCGTTTGTAAAAGCCAATTTATCGTATGCATTTATTCTTTTGAACTGGCGCATAGGAATAACAACGTTGAATGTTGAAAGAAGTGACAATGTGGAGCAAAGTGTTACCGGTGTAGCATGTGTGATAAATGGAGGAAATTGATACATCAGAAAGGAAGAAAGTGACAGAGGGGGAGAGATCAGCCAATGTATCCGGGTACTGGTTCGTTAGCGGGGGGGGGCTAAGTCCTGATTTAGCCTAACCCCCACTGTAAAAATCGACTTTTTATAGCGTTTTTAGCAGTTTTATAGCAAATTCAAGGTTCTATACCGGCAGCGGGGATTTTTCCAGGAATCGGGGATTTTTCCCGGAATCGGGGATTTTTCCAGGAATCGGGGATTTTTCCAGGAATAAGGGATTTTTGCCAGGGATCACAGGAATCGGGGATTTTTGACGGAATAGCGGATTTTTCCCGGAATCGGGGATTTTTAAAAACGGGAAAATTGGCCGAATTTGGGGGCAGTGAAATCGGGCGCCGCGACACCTGCGCCTGACATTTGCGCCGCGACACTTGCGCCGCGATACCGAGATTCAGCTACTTGAAGATGCAATTTTTCGCGCAGAGTATTCTGGTTAAAGAAACGATAGAAAGATGTTTTTGCGCTAGGAGTCACTCGATTTGGAGGGAAGGTAATTGCTACTGCTACTGCTCTGCGACTAGAAAAAGGCTTCGTGCCACCCGGGGCCTAGTCGCTTCGGATGGGTGCGAGCTCGTACAGGGTTTCGAGATCGGGGCGCCCGAGGCGCGCGTAGCGGCCAGGCGCCCCGATTTCGAAAGAGTGAGCGGCAGCCCATCCGTAGCGACGGCCCACCTTGCTTGACGCCTTTAGGAGCATTCCGAATTGGCGTTACTCACTTTCTGTCAGCTTTTAATGCAAAATACAGTAATTACATACAAAATTCGCGCGAAATACCAAATTCACTACATTTTAAATCAGTATACGATCCGCGGCGCAAGTGTCGCGGCGCAAGTGTCCACGGCGCAAGTGTCGGGGAGCCCCCCAAACCGCCAATTCAAAAATCCCCGATTTCGACTGCCCCAAAATTCGGCCAATTTTCCCGTTTTTAAAAATCCCTGATTCCGGGAAAAATCCTCTATTCCGTCAAAAATCCCCGATTCCTGTGATCCCTGGCAAAAATCCCCTATTCCTGGAAAAATCCCCGATTCCTGGAAAAATCCCCGATTCCGGGAAAAATCCCCGATTCCTGGAAAAATCCCCGCTGCCGGTATAGAACCAAATTCAATTAAGAGAAAAAGTTGACCGTTGCATTTTTTTTGATACATTTGTCGCCAAACGTCAATTTTTTGCAAATTCCAAAATTTTTTTATGAACTTTTGATAGCTATTTTTCTGTTTCGTATTTCGGCGTGTTTTTCGGCGCCTGGTTAAACCACCCCCCGCTAACGGACCAGCACCCACATTAACCTGTCAAAAAAAACTGACAACGGGAAAACGTGGCAAAGGTTACTTGGGCGATTTACTGGGAAGTAGTCGAGAATATTTCGGACGGTGCTCGACCGTGTGGGTGTCTTCTGGCTTCTCGGTGTCTTGGGTGTAGAGCGTACTTGGGTGAGGGCAAGAGCTCGTTCACCACGATTCATTGGCGGGGACTGGCCTTCCATCCACTGTCGACACGTCAACACCCTCCCGAGAACCCGCTGGGCGCCGACTTGATTTTACTAAAAATGAATGAATGAAAATTTGCCGATTCGTGATAAAGCTTGATCGGTACAGTGCTAGCGAGGGGTGAGCTAAGTTATTTACCCTACAGTTAGCGAAAT